TTTCCCTAGTAATGGACTGGGTTTAAGTATTTCCTTTTTTTAAGGTAGATGGCTTTATCTTCCTCTTTTACTTGGTCTGCTTAAAGAAAGTGAGAGTTATGTGTCCTCTTCCTTTTGCGAGAGGAATTGGGGGACTGAGGCTAGCACAGTGTTTGTGCAGGCGGTGAGTGGACAAGAAGAAAATTCAGTGTAGACCTGCAGAATGTCACGTGGCCACCGCCATCAGCAGGACATCCTTCCTCTGGTCACATTGTGGTAGGGTGGGACTCTGCTTTGGTTGATGTAGCTCTGTGTTGGGTAACCCTAATAACACTGCTTCGTCTTCCACGTAATGGGGTTCGCTGCTGTGCTAGGGGAGATTGTTCCTTCCCAAAAATGTGTGAGCGCTGGCAGTAAAGAGCACTGACTCCAGCTTGGGCACCTGCACCCAATAATAATATCTACTGGTTAAAAAAAAAAGCCCAACCCCCCCAAAAGAACTAAACAAACTGTTGCATGGAGAAAGGTTGTGGATGTTTTATAGGAAGAACAGGTGCCTTTAAGCTTCAGTTTTGTTCACAGTGACTTTTAGACATTTAAAAAGAAAAATAAAACCACTCCCCTGTTTGGCTGTGCACAGAACCCCCAAATTTCTCAAACCTATCTCAGGAAATAAGATTCGGTAAGGCAATGTGTTGCTAATTAAGTTAATGATGCAAACTCTCTGCAGATGTAATTCAGAATAAATGAGGAACAAACGTGGTTGCCTTAACAGGATTTTTTTTCAAAGGATTTTTTCAGTCTTCAAAATAATTGGGGTTTCTAATATAAGCTTCCACTCTAACATTTTGAAATAAGTATGTGAAGTAATACCTTTGTAAGTGGGGAAGCAAACTGGTTAGTCTCGTGGTCATTTGGAAGAATTGAGAGATGTAGGTCTGGTGACTGTAGCGGCAGTAACTAAGCAAATTAAGTGCAGTGAAGGAAGAACCGTGGAGGATGCAGAAGCTTTTGTTGGTCCTTATGTAGAATTTTACCTGTTTGAAGTCAGACTAGATTATACGTGAGTGGTGATGAATAATGCTTCCTACTTCTAATAATATTATGGTTATAAAATTCCAAGTACTGTTTTGTCTATAACGTTTTTAATTGTTTGTATGCCTAAATGAAGATGTGTAAAGCAGGGCAGAAGGAACCAGCTTTACATCTTTTACTGTTTTTCCTTGTAGTTAGATGTTTTTGCTGACCGTTTGTCTAGCTTCTTTTGGCTAAAACCTATAGATCCATGAAACCATAATGCATTGACCATGTAAACAGTTAAAACATCCTTAATGTGGGGGGAAGATAGTTCAAATCTTTGGTAATACCGAGATTCCTCCGTTCTACTGTAATTATCAGAGGAAAAGCATGTGCAATAGTAGTTAAGCCTTTTACCAGCCCACAGAAGCCCTTTGGATGTTCTCCCAAGGTAACAGGGTACAGTCCCAGTGAGTCATGGGATCCGTCGCAGCCATTTAAATCAGAAGGCAGATTGTGCTCTGTTACCTTGGAGGCAGTTTGGCGGCGGAGGATTGGGTCTCATAGCCTGCACCTCTGGAAAAGTAAGTTTCTTACCTGCCAGGCCCTCTGACCTTAACTTTGCTCTCATCTTTTTATTTAGTTGTTTTGGTTATTTTTATAACAACAACAACAATGTGGAGTACTTTCTGTAATTTTCAGAACTTGTATGTGGAAAGTATTAACACTGTTTGCCTAGATGTCTCAGTTCAGTTTGTGTTTTCATGAAAAGCTAGCATTTGGAACGTTCGGTTAGTTGTAGGACTTCAGCAGTACTGAAGAGCAAACTGATTCAAGGATGAAAGAATCTCCTTCAGAATAATGGGACTTGCTTGCTTTCAACCTGTTCTTTAAGGAGATATATGTGCTTTCTAAATCTCAATAATGAATTAAATTTGTGCGTTCATAGGTATTTAGTAAGTAATAACTTGGAGGTTAAAATAGTTCTGTGCTGTATAAGTTTGTGCATAAATATTCATGATTAAGTCACTGAAAGGGATCCCACTTGGCTGCAGAAGCAGGATTTTGTATCTGGTTTCCACGGAGGTGGGAATTAAGTATTAATTGTAACTTTTTTCCTTTTTGCCTAGTGGGGGGGAGGGGGGGCGGGCGGACAGTGGAAACTTATAGTTACTGAAACTTGGCCAATACAGCCAACTCTACAGAACAGTTAATATGATTTGATTTTTGTGATTGAATTTTTTAACTGAATAGCTAATAGACTACTAGACTTTGGGTTGCAATCCAACAGGTTTGTTGTTGTTGTTTTTTTTAATGGACAGTGACTAGGGCTCACAAACAAATAAGGCAAAAGTGTGGTTGTGTATATCAGGCAATAAAAGTAGATTCATGCACTTAGACATAAAATTCCTTGGGCTAAAAATTGGCAGGCATCCCAGTTTTTGTAGTTATAGAGAGACTAGACAGGGGAAAAAAAATCCAGGAGCAACAAGGAAGGGGAAAAGTGTATGATAGGAAATTGTTAATTAAGATGACATTTGATTACCTGCCATAAAAATCCAATAACTTACTATATTTGATTTGCCTGAAAGTATGCTCACATAGCGTGCTCAGGAACTATGTAGATCAAATAAAATACTGATTTTTGGTTCAAGTCCCCATTCTGGCAGGGACAGCTTTCTGTATCTGGTTGCCTGGAGTTAAGCTACTGTCTTCAGTTCTATCTGGTAGCATTGGTTTCAAAGCTTAAATTTAAGTAGCAGAACTTGGAAAATGTTGGCTATATTCAAAGGAAGAAAAGGTGAAATGCACACTAAATTCACTTCAACTAAAGACCACGAGTGAATAATTGTATTTCTGAGCACCCTCAGTGGAAACCCATTTTATTACTAGGTCCAAATAAGTTGCTTGAACAACTTTGGTGAGCCTCACATTGATTCACGCTTGAATGTAATCTAGTGATACTGTGAAAAGAAATTACATGGCAGTGAATCATCTGAAATAAAGTTGGAGTTCATATGTGACCTGAACTTTGATATTAGTTCTTGAGGTATTCAATTAATTCATACAATAACAAGTATAGTGGATATCTCGTCCCTCCCAGTATCTAATTTGGAAAAAATATTTATGTGAAAAAGAAATGTTATGTAACAAATTAGTAGCATTGGTTTCTGTAGCATATGAGGTTTCTGAATCCATGGTGATAGGTCAGTGATTTTTGACCTTGAGAAGTTGGGGTGGCAATGCATGATGGATATGAATGGTGAATGTGTGTTGAATATGCCAGTGCTTGGTTAAACTGACCGATTATAGTTAATGTGAAGAGTCTGTGTGTAAACTGTTGTTAAAATAAATAGAATCTTAGAGAATAGTGAAAGTAACAAAAGCCTCATGCTACCTTCCTTGATTTTTTTTTTTTTCAGTGAGGATATAGTTCAAAAATAAGTGCCAGTATCTTGATACAAAAATTGGAGATTTAGTTATATCCAAATAATTAATTTAGGAATTAGCTCTTAAAAGCTCTGCTTGAAATCGAAAGTCCTAGAAGAAGCAGTGGAAGTGGTTGAGGGTTTGCTTAGGTGACGCAGTGGTGGTGGTATAAACCTGCCCCTTCAGCTCTACTTGTTCGTCAAGTTTTCTGTTTTGTTTTTAAACAGGGGCATGGTCTATATGGCATTTCAAGTTTCTTTGTGGTCCTGTGTCTTACCAGTTCACATACTGATAATCACACCATATTGTGGTATCTTAAGCATGTATTTTAGATAACAACATTTTTTCTTGTACTTCTGAAGTTATGTGGTTCAAGAACTTAATTGCTTCAACTTCTGTTTTCAGGAAAAAAAGTAAATTTGAGTTTTCTTACGTTATTTCTAGTCACTATTTTGTTGTGAGATCACTGCCACATGAAGGTAGTGATGCCGAACAATTAACATCTAAGTAAATTGGCAATTATCACTAACAAAATCCATAATTGGCTTCACCCATTTGGTAAGGTATTTCCAGTTTTTAATTAATGCTTTGCATGTTAAAACAGAGCATGTCCTTTATATTTCTGGTTGTTTTTTTTTTTTTTAAATTTGTTTCAGTTGTTAAAAAGAATTGATTTGTTTGTTACTTAGAGAGCTTAAACTAAATAACTTTATAAATTAAACTCTATTACTGTGACTGTGGGCTTGGTATCTTCTTTGTTGTTTGAAGTGTGTGAAGGGAGGTAGGCAACTGCTAGCAAGTATTGTGTGCATTTAAGAGCATGCCATTCATTTGCTTCTGTCCAGATGCAGATCATACTTTTCTGCCTCTGGAAGGTGTTGGTTTTGAAATTGATCCACAAATATTGCAATATACAGATTTACAGTTTCTAAACTACTTGATTAAAGTTTGGGCATTCCTTTTGCTAGATATTTAAATAACTTTTGATGCAAGCAAATCTTGAGAGGAATCTAACTTTTTTATGGAAATAGGTAGTTATTTTTGTCCATAAGAATACTGTGGTATATATTCTCCATTCTACCTGCTCTTGCACTTCTCCCTCTTGCCCCAAACAGACTTGAAATCACTTTTGAATCTTTTCACTTTAAACTGCAAATTAATTTTCATCAGATTTTAGGAATTGAGGTTTTTGAAAAGCATCTGCAATACAAATTTTGTGCATAACAAGAATTTTACGTTAGTGTCCTCTTGTATGGATGGTATCTGTAGCTTTTAAAGAATGAATTTTTAATTAATTCCAATTAAAAAAACACTATGGAATGATGGTTACAAAGGGATATGCTAAATGATACATAAGGGAGATGCTAAATATAACTACTAAGTAGTAGTATTTGTTTGAAACTAAAGTTTTAAATTAGAGCAACAAGAACACCAGTTTTCATGTGTGTGCTCTGAAATGTAAATTGGGCAAATTATGAACTCTGCTTATTTGAAAATGTTAGGTCTTAATGTTGTTTTTGTTCTTTTTTCTTTCTTTCTCTTCTGCGTTTCCCTTCCTTCCCCTCTTTAGCTAAATGGCCTTAAAATGGCAGATGAGCCTATGGAAGAAGGTGAACCATATTCCTACCACGTAAGTATACTTGATAGATGTTCAGTTTAGACACTCATTAGTAGGACTTCCTTTTTAAGCAAAATTTATGCATTCCTTGCTCTGTAATAACTTCTGAACCCATCATTTTATTTCACCAGATCTGTAGAGGCTCTAAGTCTCAAAGATGATTTTTGAAAATTAGTACCTGGGTAGGGAACATAAGTGCCTTGTTTGGGAAAGTTTGCCCCATGAGGCGGTGCTTTATGGAAACCAGTTTCTGTGTGCTGGAGAGAGCATTTATAGATCCCTCTGCCTCAGAAAATGCTCAGTCCAACCTCGAACCTCTTATACACAGAGTGCTTAATGTTGCTTTTACTACACTGTCATCTGTTCTTCCTTTGTATTTTTTTAATGTAGTTGTTGTGCATTCATCTGGAAGGTGCTTAATTCCTGCTATTTTAGAACAGAACTCATTTTTACACGAGTATGTTAATTTGGCTTTTATGTAGAAATATCCCAGATAAATCCTGTTGAGCATGATTTTTGTCCGGTGCCTTGGTGATGTGCATATTTAGGAGTTGCTGAAGATCAGTGTTCTGTGTGCAGGCTAAATCTTTGGCTGAACTTCACGCTAATTCTGCACTGTTGTGAAATGCCTGACTTTGCATGGAAAAATTTGCCATAATTTTTCAACACACCCACCCCTATATTTTTGAACAGGATCATGGAAGAAGATATCAAGTAGGTCTTACTGCCCACTGTAACCACTGCTTTGTATTGCAATAATAACTTTTTAAGTAGGTGATTTGGAGGATAAACTCTTGGGGATAGAACCGTGTGGTGCTTGGACGTTTCCTGGTGTGGAGTAAGTAAATAAGGCGTCAGTGTCATAGTCTTCTTACACGTAGCAAAGGCAGATGAGCAATGGCTTGTCTCAGTCTTTCACTGTACTTGAACCAGAAGGATGTTGCTGAGCTTGTTTGTTAGGTGCTTGGAGCTACATACCAGTCAAGCTGTAACGAAGTAAGATGGCACAAAGCCATAATTGACTGCGGCGTTTCTTTCAGTGCTTTGTCTTCTGTTGATCCTGGTGGGAGTAGTTGCCTCTTGTGCAAGGCAACTCAGTGGGAGCTGGCACCTGAACCCTGAAATAGATTTGATTCTCAAGCAGCGGAGCATAAAAATCAGATAACCAAATTTGCAGTTCATGGAGGCCAAACTAGAAATGAAAATGAAACTGGCTTATACATCTGTTCAACTCTTTACCAGCTCATTTCTTGTTGGTGATGCAGAGGACTTCTTATACTTCAGTCATGCTGATTTTTAGTGCTTTGATGATAGTTAAGTAGATGAAATTATGTAGACATCTTTTGTGAAGGTAAAACACTTGTATGAAATGAGTTATTTCTTTATAATCTCAAGTTATTAATTATTTGCATGGAGAACATTTTTTTTCCTCAGTTCACATTTAGAAATACTCTGTCAGTCTCTGCAACAGCCACATGTGATGTCACAGGCTAATGACTCAAGGTGGGTGATAAACAGAAGAGCGGGTGACCGCTTAAAGATCTTTTCTCATGTAAAGGTTCACAGTGTTAAGGAATACAAATAAGGATGAAGTAAAAAGGCTTTTAAATAGAGTATTTACAGATTTCACAGAATGAACTAGCCATTAAGTCTGTTGTACAACTTGATGTATAACTAGATGACTTGCTGCTTTCATCTGTTCTCAGATGACTTGAAATGCTAGTGTTCTTACCTGCATTAAATTCCAGGCATGTGTTTTTTTAAAAGAAAAAAATTAAGATACGTGTATTTTTCCTACAAATCCATATATGCATAGTCAACAAGATGGATGGATGAAATGAAGTTGGGATGTATATACTGTCATCAGTGTATGTCAGCTGTCTTTTTTGTGGACAAGGAGGAAAATGAAGTACCTTAGAGTGAATTAAAGAATTAACTTTGTTATCCAGCAGTGTCTGGTGTTAGTGCCTACCTTTGCATGGGAAGTAGGCAGAACAAACAGGCCTTTTCCAGAAAGAGTATGAAATAAGAGAGAAATAAGAGATGTAGGGGAGAAGAGAGGACCCGTGCTAGAACAACTGGACTGTAGTCGTGAATGTACTAAGATGTTAGTTTGATCTCCTTCTTTCCCCCTCTGGACATAGACACTTAATGCGATGTGGTGATTGTCGTGTGTCCCCCCCTCGCTTTTTAATTATTACAGTAAGTAAGTACACATTTAGATGATCAGATTTCTACCCTGAATTTTTGTGTAAACACATCTAGATAATTTAATCTAGATACTCTTGTATCAAGTCTGATAATGCTGATTATAAGTTTTGATGCATGGTCGTGGGCAGCAAGACTTTCTGTAGTTAACCTGACTGTAGAATGATGTTCTTTGCTAAAACCAACTGTTTCATCAAGCGGTTAGGTCTTTTTCTGGTGGTGTTCGTACTTGTAATTGGGGGAGAGCAATGCACCACAGGGTGGGTTTTTTTGGTCTCCACTAAGAGAAGCTTTCAAGATGGAGATCTAATGAGAGGCTAGGAGGACAATTAATCATCATTTGGGTACCCTAAAGACTTCAAGGTACTGCAAATCAGGTGGGATTTTCTGTTGTGATTGGGTTGTATTTGCAGTGTGCAAGAAATTAATTGGTATTGTTGATAGGGCTGAAGGGTGCTGCTCGTTTTGTATGTGCAAGCTCAGGTTGCTGCTGTAGGCTTTAGCACGTAGTTTGTAGTTTCAAGGGTGTGCTTATTTTGACATCTTACTTGTTTTGGCTCACAGAAACTTCACTTACACCATAAAAGCTGCAATTCATCATGTGATTTGTTTTCATCATGAATGTTTGTCTTTTCACAATTGTAGCTGCTGTGCCCTGCTTTGCTAAAGATGAGAGTAACAGGAAAAAGTCAACAGAACACTAAATCTTTTGCTCGCTTCAGAATTACCCTCAGCTTTCTGAAGGAGTTCTCTACACAGGAGAGTCTTTCCATGCACTCTGCACTCCAGAGCTGTATTTCTTCTGTTGAATGCAAGAATTCTCAGAGTTCTTAAGATGACTCATATCTTATTTATGCTCTTCAAATGATGCATGTTCCTCTAGCTACAAATGGATGACCATATTTATTTGCTGCCGTGAAAAGCAATAATTACTTAAAATGATGAAATTCAATTTAGCTTTCATTAAGACTATTTCAGGAATGGGAAAGATGAGAAGAGTGATCACTGGGAAAACTAAAGGCTGCTAGAACAGAGGTGAAGCACAGAAAGATCATCTTAGACTTTGTTTTAAAGATCTGTACATTTATTCCTTTCATGTAAGAAAATCCATCTTTGTAGTTGTAATATTTATGACAAAAGGAAATGAGCAGTCTTTGAGAATTTTACTTCAGTTTAGAAATTTTAGATGCATCTATTTCAGAAAGGATGGGAAAACTCTTCATTTGAACAGCTTTTATGCCTTATTAGAATTTCAAATATTTTAATTTAAAAAAATAAGAGGCGAGCAGGCATTTACATGCACCTCTAACAAGAGTTGATTAATTCAGGCCTGTTCGTTGTTGTATTTTGTTTGCCTTGAAATAATAGGATGAAGGAAGTGTGAAAGAAATTCCTATTACACACCATGTGAAAGAAGGATGTGAGAAAGCAGATCCAGCACAGTTTGAACTACTTAAGGTTCTTGGACAGGGATCATTTGGAAAGGTAAGATAACTAACTTTTGATCTGATGTCTGCTTTGGACCCACTTTGTCTTTCTTCCCTTATTTTTACAATACTACAAGGTTAGGTATAAACCTAAGAAGTCTGAGTACAGGTAGATATGCTTGTGGAAGATGCCCTGTTTTGGAGGGGGGCTGTGTTCTCATTTTTACTATGATAGCGTTTCTGACTTCACGTTTTTTCAAAGAAAAGTGATGTCTTTTTCCACAGACCTGTCCAGACATTCAAGAAAGGTAGTGCCATAGCAGAGTTGCTGGGAATATTTGAAAAGATACTGACAAATTTCATCTCTTTCCAATCTTGCTCTGGTGCCAAGGGGGCACTGTTTATAGCAGGACATCAAATCATATCAGACACAGAGGCAGCAGCCTCAGTCTCTAGGCAGAAGGGTCAGTCAGTAGCAAATTTGAGGAGGTCTGTCATGGAAAGTTACAGTCTGCTTTAACTGAGTAGAGGGGCACGTTTGTGGTTCGTCTGGACTGGCATCTGCAGCTGGTACCCACAGCAAGGGATCTTACCAGTTGGGTTAGAGTTAGGCGTGTTTTCTATGCAGCAGCTCTGGTGTTGACAAGCTCTGTTTGCCTAATGCCAAGGCTATTTGAAATAAAATTGTGGTATTTTCAACCGCCTCAGGACTTAATTGCAGCATCTAGTGAGGAATCAGAAAGAACAATATCTGTGTTCCCTATAGGTTGCCTCGCTTCTTCTGTAGCTTAGGTTGCTGCTTGGGAGGCACCAGCAGTGCAATAGACACTGATAGACGCTTCTGGAGGAGATGGTAATTTGTCTTTTAATGCTGGTACTTGACATGCTTTGAATGTTTGAATTTTTTCAATATATGTAATCTGTGTCAGTGTAGATACAGAAGAAAGATTGTGGTAGTTTGGAACTTGAACCGAAGTAACAATAAAGTAAATAACCTAGGAAATGTATTTCAGGTTTTTTATTTTGCTGTATTTGTGAGGTCATCTACAGCTAAAAGACATTTAAGTGAACAACTATTGAAAGAGCATGTAGAAGAAATATGGCAATTTTTTTGTTACAATAATTTCTTTTTGTAATGTGCCACTTGGTGTCACATTGCAGAAATGAAATTAAAAGTCAAATGTCTCAGTCACTACTTTGAAACACATTAGTTGAAATATTAATCCTAGTGTATAAGAAGCTAATTTATTTTTTAAAACCAGACTCTTAAAATAGATCTTGCGACACATAAAAAGTAGACAATCAGCTTTACATATGTTTTCATTTTCCTATTGTTCTGTTGGTTTTGTCTGTCTCATGGCAGGAACAAACCTCTGCATGGAGTTGTATGAGAGGGGGAAAAAAATTAGGCGTTAGGAGTGTATTCTGTGAATAAGTGACTGTTTGGAAAATCGAGTGTAAAATCTTTCTTAACGTTTTACAGCTTAAGAAGCAGTTCTTTATCTGGTAATGTTGCTTGCCAGTTCCCTCGTACACTTCTCGTCCTCAGAGCCGAAAAGGCTCCACACATTTATTACTCCTCACGTGAGATGTCTCAAGCTATCTCAGGGTTTAGCACCTCTGGTAGGGACATCTTAGCCCCGATTCAAACAGATTCTTACTTCACAGAGTTCAGATTTCTGTCAGTCCAGGGATCATTCATGCTCAGAATTCCACCAGCTTGGCGAGATGTCTGTTACAGAGCTCTTGAAACCTGGCAGTACATAGTTCAGGAGCTAGCTTCAGGAATCAGATGGTGACTGTTGCACACCTGGGCAGAGCTCTTTTTACCTAATATTTGTTGCTTTCTATTGAAAAGGGAAACAACAAAAATCAATGGCTGTTGCCTTCATGGTATTTTTCTCTCTCTAGTGTATACTTCCCAGGGATCTCCCTTTGGGTGTAGCAAACCCAAGGTTTGTTTGCTCTAGCCTGGTATAGTGCTACAGCCCATCCTCTACCTGTCCTCTTTGGCATCTGTGCAGGATTTAATGCTGCTTCACAGAAACAAATGGTTAAACCTCGTCTGTTACTGAGTTTCTCTCATCAGCCTTTGATAACACTCTGAGGCTTCAGCAGCCAGTCTGCTGAAAATGGTCTTCGATTCACTTGCATATTGTGCAAAGCAATTCACCTGTCCATCTAGATTTTGCATTACAATTGAAAACCTGACCATGGCAGCTCTGCAAGATGTGGGATTATGGAGACTTTGTCTGCAAATTAAATAGATGGTGCCTGAGTAGTTTTCAGTGGCAGCTATTTTGGTCCTTATTAGCTAGAATTTGTAACTTATACACAAATTCCTTACATTCTCACAAGCTGCTAGTTATTAAGCACTAAAATACTTGTACATGCTTATTAATAGTTTACTTTTATAATTGTGAGCATATTGATCTGTAGATATTTTCTTATTTACTGGTGTTTGAATTGCTTGCTTTAGTATTTGAGCATCAACATTGAGAGCAGTGCTGTAGGTCAATCATTGGCCAAAATTTAGACAAAAAAAGGCGCCCGAAAACCTTGAAACATGATGATGTTTTTCACCTAACCAGAGCTTAAAATAAAAACAAGCGCTCTCCCAACCCTGGAAACTTTACTGAGTGACGATGTATGAACTTCCGATTCTAGAATGAAAAAGTTGACAAGTTTAATTTCGCTATTTTTTAAAAATAATTTATAAATATTTAATGTCTTCTAACAGAGTGTATATGTAAATAAATTTAGTGGTAAAGAAAATCTGAATAAGGTAAGATCAGAGGGGCAGTTTTGGGTAGCTCTTGGCATTATCTTGTGACTTTTTTACAGTGCAAACATTCCTCATAACTAATAATTGCTATTACAAGAAAAACAACTTGGAAACAGGAGCACATACCAAACAATTTTGTAAATTGAAAGACCTAGTAGTTAGAATATTAGTCAGTAGAGATACATGTATTTGTACTGCGTTATTGTATCTAATCCTGTGTATTTCTTAGATGGTATATAACGTGATGATATCTTTAAAACTCCTCTGGAAAGAAAAGAGTAGAAAAACCTGTTGGAGTTGCTATTCCAGAGGGAAAGGGTGCTTTGATCTTAAATGGTGAGGTTTCCTTGCTTTTGTCTCACCACTCTTACAGAATTCATTAATATAGCCTGTTACATTCTTGAGACTTGGGTCTTAAACCTCAAAAATCTCTTAGGAGGTGGCAGACCAGGCAGAATTGTCGTTCTCCAAGAAAGTAATGTAAAGAAACACATTTATGTAAGTACTTACTTGAGAAGTACTTGTTTAAATGGCTTGCTATAGGAAAGAATGTGTAGTTTCTGACCAGTCTGAATACTTCAGAGAGCTTGGTGGTGCATGTAACTCTAATCTGATTAAGGGAATGCAAGTTTGCCCTTCCTTTAAAGATGTGTACTTAGACAGCTTTCAGTGTTCTTTCCTGAAATTAGTAGGAGGTTTGTGATAGTTGCTTATTGGGCTACTAAGCTTGCTTATGCAAAAAGACTTACTATGAACGTTTGGCATCTTTTCATTCCTTGGAGATTTTGAGGCATGAGGTGGGACTAGGGATGTGCTATCTCCTTGTCTGTATTCATGAAGTTAGAAGTAGTCATAGTAATGGGTTTTAGTCAAGTTTACATAAAATATTTTTAGCAGTAATCTTGTAAGTGTTTATATTACTAGGTCTTCCTCGTACGGAAAATAATTGGTCCTGATGCTGGGCAACTTTATGCAATGAAAGTATTGAAAAAAGCTTCTTTAAAAGGTATGTGTATCTTTTGAATCATAGAATGGTTTGGTTTGGAAGGGACCTCAAAGATCATCTAGTTCCAACCCCCCTGCCATGGTAGGGGCATCTCCTGCTAGACCAGGTTGCTCAAGGCTCTGTCCAACCTCTTCTTGAACACTTCCATTTTTGGAACTTTAGAAAATGGTTTTCATTGCACCTGTATCTCTTAAATGAGGCTTGTAAATACTTCTTAAATTCTTTTTTTTATTCTTCCATATTCTTCAGTAAGTTCATAACTCTTCTCTGAAAGTAGCTTTTTTCCTAGAGTAACTTGTAAGTTCATGTTTAAGAATTATTTTGTCTGGCCAGATAGCTTTAATTATGTGGTTAAAAGTACTCTTTCAAGGTTTAAAATTGCGTTATTTAATTATGTTTAGTCTTTTCATTATATTAAAACAAATTAATTCCATAAACAATTTTTCTTTTGTTAGGTTAGAACTCTACTGTGGTTGAAATTAAGCCATTCCCTCTTGTATTAGGTGCCATAGCAAGCTAACTTACTATATCGGCTTTCAGAAGACACTTTAATGGATGCAAGTCCCCTGTGTGTAAATAGGGACTATTACTAGTTGGAGAGGAAAAACTAAAATTTAGCAGACAAAAAAATATATATTCAGTACAGGTAGTTAATTCAGAGTTTGAAGGTAGCTGCCTGGAAACGTAGATGAAGCATTTTTTCTTGAAAATAATATGGATTATCACAAAATATTGGGATGTATTGGAAAAAAATTAAGACAGTAAGGAAGCTGGGGCAGGTAAGAAACAAAATAGTTTTACTCTCTGAAAGCATTGGAGTTTGTGGGAGACTTAAAAGTTAAAAACAAATAAGGTGACAAGGAAAAGTATTTCTTTAGATGGCAGAGACTTCCTATATGCTAATTTCTGTTCCATCTGTATTATATCAAATAAATTTGTTTCATACTAGTCTTTTTTTTTTCTTCCCCCCCCCCTCAGTTCGGGATAGAGTTCGTACAAAAATGGAGAGAGATATATTAGTAGAAGTAAATCATCCGTTTATCGTCAAACTGCACTATGGTTGGTATTTTTATGATTTTTTTGCTACACTTTCATTATTTCAAGGCATAGCTGACCTTGCTCTTTCTCAGTTTTGTTGTATCCATTTTAATGCCTAAACTAGGTTCATGCAAGTTTAAATCACAAGGCTAAAAAAAGGAATGTAAATATACATGTATATGAAAGTTTGTTAAGTCCTTCTGATTAAAGATTTCCTGGGAAATTCTTACAAATGCTGCAGAGATTATTTTTTTTAATTTTTTTTTTCTTTACTTTTCGTTGAGTAAAACCAAAACACAGTAATTCACATACTTGGTGTTTCCCTGTTTGACAAAGAAGAAATAAAAGAACGGTGTCTTAATGATCTCTTATGACTAAGGTTTTCTTCTGTGAAGAGGCAAGCAATCATTCAATAAATTACCTCATGTGCTGCTGAATTATTTCAGTTCTGTAACAAAAGTGTTGCCTTTCACTGAAATTTTCAAGTTGTAAAAGCATTCAGATAGGTTTTGTAGATCATCTTTGTCAAACAATTATTGATTTTTTTTTTAATTATTTTTTTTTTTAAGCCTTTCAGACTGAAGGGAAGCTATATTTAATACTGGATTTTCTCAGGGGAGGAGATGTATTCACGCGATTATCCAAAGAGGTAAGTACCTAAAATTTTATCTTCACTCAGTGTTGGACAGGGTTTTTCTGTCAGTATAGGGTTATCTGCTATTGCTGTTTCATCCCTATTTCTTGTCATAGTCAAGTTTTCAATAACTTAGTTGGGCTTCCCTTATGTGTTCTAGAATGTAGTCTATAACCTTAAGAAACATGAGTGTGTATTGATTGGTAGCCTAAGTTTTAATTTGGTATCTGTGAAGTACAGTTCTTTTGTCTAAAAATGTTTTGTTGCTTGGAAACCTAACTGAAGTAAATTAAAATTTAGCAGTAGGGGACGTGTAGTTCTCATGCTCATAGTCAGCCTAGGTGCTCCTGGAAGCCTGCATCTACAAGAGGTTTCTACTGCATTGTAAAATTTTATAATGCTGTAACACAAATCCTAATGCTTAACTTTATGAAGTGTGAACATTGAGTATTTTTGAGATGACTCCATCTAACATTGGCATGCAACTGGAACTTTAATTTTTCATTTCTAATTTTGTTTTCTGGAGAGGGAGCTTCAGAGGAGGGAATGATGCAGCCTCTATTATTTCTTTTCTTCTTTTTAAACATTTGTCATCAAGTATTTATTATGTTACCTTAAGTATAATATGTGTACAAGACTCTTATTTTCTTTTTGCAAACCTTTCATAAAAATCTAAATTTTTAATGGCAGTTTCTCAACAACTTCACAGAGAGCTTTTCAGTGTTTCCACCAGTGTAAATACATGTATATTGCTAATGCATAGGAAAAGCTACTTTCTTAAATGAGAAAACTGGGTATCTGACCGGTTTTTCATGACATGAAGGAGGTGGTTGTATCCCCAGTGTGTAAGGCCGTGAGATAGTGTTTTGTTGGGGTTTTTTTTTTCCCCATATACTTTTTGTAAAAATAATACTTTACTTTAGGAACAGGCAAAACAGAAGGAAGAATTTAAAAGCGTTTTTGTTTTCCTTCTTTATAAAAAGCTGACCTTTGTAAAACAGTGATCATGTCTAAGAATTGAGCTGAAAATTAATTAACCTTGAGGCTAAAAGCTTAAACAAACTGACCGACGTGTGAAGGGTTATTGCAACAGCAGGTAGGGAAGAGGTCAATCTCTGCTTTGATATAGGACGTGTAATTATAGAGGAAATTCTGGTATAGCAGGAAGAACTATTCTTTTGCACTAACACAGCTGGGATTACTGAGTATGCAACATTCTTAAATAAGGGATGCAAGTCTATCCATAATAACGCTAGCTGGATGGTTGAAAGAGGTATGTATTCCCTTTGGGAATAAAGAAGTAATAGTTGTCAAGTTTTCTTACTGTTCAGTCTCTATGTGTTTTTTGGAAGACTTCAGTTACCGTCTGTGATGGCTCTTAAACACTTACTGTGTCTATAAATAAGAACAAAAAAAAATTCAGGCACCTGTATTTTTCTGGTGGGAAGACAAGGTGTTTTCAAAAGCACATGGTATAAAACACAGTGAGCAATACACGAGGGCAAATTCCCCATGGCATTTTACACTTTCCACACAAGGATTATTCTAAATTAATTTGGTTTATTTATGAGGTTATTAACACACTTTTGTTCATCTTTAAATTCTAATGTGGGTATGAGAGTTTCAGAAGTGAAATGAGTGTATAATGAAGTTTTTCATTGGTAACGTTTAATGAAGTTGACTTGCATTGTGCTTAATTTGACACAGAAAGCAGTTTTAAATGAAATTATTATTGGGAGGCTGTAGGTTACCGTTTAGCGTCATTGTATTCTGAGATGCACATTTTGACTACTCCAAGGAGTAATGATACCCGAGGTTTCCTCTTGCTCTTTTGGATATAGATGAAAAGCGGTATCAACATTACTCTTTAAAAAATCAAGGTGAAATTTTGTGTAGCTTAACTTTATTCATGCAATGTTAATACCCTATCTTTATGTAAATCGGGAATATTTCTGATGCCAATAGGGCAGATTACATATGTGCAATTCCAAGCACAGATCAGTGTACTAGGTAAGCCCAGTTACCTTAATTTAAGTCTTGTTAGTTGTCTGCTGTGCAGTTGAGATGGCTGTTCTCCCTGTTCCTGGTGTTTTCAACAAATAAGGGAATAGTTCACTTAAACCTCAAATTTGGTTCCAGTAATTTAAAGATTACTGGCTTCTCCAGTAATTTGTAGCGCATGACAAGAGCCAAAGCAGGTATGGTTCTTGTATATGAAACTAGAAGTGACCTGTTGAGTATTTAGGGTAGAAATGCGTCTCTCAAACATTCTATATGCAACATCAGTCAGTTTTTCAGTATCTCACTAGGATTCTTCAAATTTCTTTTCCTAAGAGCAGAGTAGGTTCTTCAACTCCCACTGCAGGTTTTCATGTCGCTGTTTCGCCACTGATTTATTTTGCATACTTTCTTCTAAATTTTTTCTGCTTTTTGTTTCTAAATATTCTTAATGTGAATTCAGAGACAGTCACCCAATACAGCAGTCATATACTAAATTTTATGATGCAGTGGAAAACAATCTGTGTAGGATTGTGGCGGAAGGAGTGCTGGTGATCAATAACACCAAATATAACATTTATTACCTTCAAAGTTAGCTAATGCTCTACAGTAACTGCTGATGTTTCTGATTAAGTATTGCAGGTAGTTCTTTTGTAAACATGATGATTAGCCTGTATTAGTATATCATTTCTGTTAGGTGAATTCCCGAGTTATGAGTTCATAAGGTATTTGAAAACTTATTTTGAAATTTAGGCAGACAGGACTATTTTTTAGATTGCAGTTTTAAAAACTGAAGACAAGATCAGAAGGTAAATCTATACAGTTCTTATTAGGTTATGTTTACAGAGGAAGATGTGAAATTCTACCTCGCAGAACTGGCCCTTGCTTTGGATCACCTTCACAGCTTGGGAATTGTATACAGGGACCTGAAGCCAGAAAAGTAAAGTAAAATGTATTTTACCACTATTACATGTATCTTGTTACTTTGCATTTTCTACTATAGTGATGTAAAAAATTTTAAAATATTTTTGTTAGACTATGTAAATAAACATAAAATGTATTTTAAAAAAATCTGATTTCAATGAAATAATATTGGCTTGTTAAATTAGTAACAAGTTGGATATCAAAATTCTTAAGTACTATATTTTAAATGTTATATGTAAACGTTTTTCTTTATGTGTATTGGTGAATGTGAATTTTAATTTTCAGCATTTTGCTTGATGAAGCAGGACATATCAAGTTAACAGGTAGGTAACACTTATTAGTATAGCACTTTCTGAACATATCTCTGTATTTGCTTTTAGTTATAAGCCTAATATATGTACAGTCATGGCTGGAGTATGTGAAAGCCAGTATTTAGCTGTTAGGAAATTTTTTTTATTGGACAGACTTTTTATAAAAAAATCTGTATCCCTTCCCTATACAATAGTTCTTTATCTAGTATTAAGTACTTTTATTGAAGTCTTTTAGATAGTCAGAGACTGTATCTGATGTTTTTGATTGATTATCAGATCCTGATGTCCGTGCAGGTTCCACTGAAGTTAGTTTTTCTTGTTAGCTAGTATTTGCGTAGATCGAGTAACCACAGCAATATGAGTGCAGATCCTAATTGCCGTGGTTAAAATAGAAGAAATGTAGTTGAAAATACAAAACCAGACACTGAATATGTTTTCTTTAAAGGAGCTTTAGTTCAGATGGTGGTATGTCAGTAACTATAACTAAAACTATCCACTATTCAGGTTAGAAAGTGAGCTGTATCAAGACTTACTGTGAAATGCCTTTAACTGAAGATCAAGAGATCATAGACCCAGGCTAAAGTTGCTGACCATGAGACTATTATAAGGGAGCGGAGATGGTTTTGGTGCCACAGAAGGCACAAGAAAACTTCTGAAATATTACTTTTTTCTTGTGTTTCTGGATTATCTCTTTTAAATCCATATAAAATGACAGAAGAATGTCCTATGAGGAATAATTAAAATAAATATATATTCTAGGAAATGATGTGTACTAAAGACTATTTGGAACCCAAATTACTATGAATTTATGAAAGCATTAAATAACATTTAAGGTGATGCTTTTGTATTATAAATTAAATTATTTTCATCTATAGATATTACTGTTAGATTCCAGGAGAAAATGGAGGGGTTTAAACTCTTAAAGATTTGATGGAATAATGGTGATAGAAATCATGTTTATAAAGAGCATCATTTTGTAAAATTCTGCATGACATATTTAAATCCAATTCAATCCTAAAATTCTCACTTCCTTTTGAAACTGGAAAGAATAATTGATGGGATTATTGATTAGCAATCATTTCTCCCTTGAAAAAAGGGGCTCTTGAGAGTTGGGCTACTATAAAGGATTTGTGTATTCAATGGCATTCTTCAAACTAGGAAAAAAATACTCTGGAAATAAAGTGAGAATATATGCAAGAGACTACTGAACTTGAGACAGGTTGCAGAACCATATTGTCTTATGTAACAACAATATTTTTAGTCTGATTTTCTTTATTAATCATTCAGTAATACTAGACCATGCAGACTGTACTCTCTTTGAAACTTTTTCACTTCTGACAGATTTTTTTGTGTGAATAAAGCGGGAAATAAACAGAGAAAATGATAACTTTTTATTATCCTAAGGCTCTAAATATGTAATATTTTGAATATTGAGGTATTTTGAGTGTTAATATTGATGGCTTATCATCAATTTAATGTAACTTACCAAATGGTATGGTGGTATCTCTAGATATCTGCAGTTTTTTATTTAGTGAAGAGGTAAGATAATGACATAATGTTCCTGAGAGCAAACAAACAAAAAGCTGTCAACATTTTGATTTTTGAAATACTGTATACAGTGTTGTTTTTTTCTAAAGTTCTTTACTGGCTGTATTCTTGTAATGCTGTTGTTGTAGACTTTGGACTCAGCAAAGAATCAGTAGATCAAGAGAAGAAGGCCTATTCTTTCTGTGGTACTGTAGAATACATGGCACCTGAAGTAGTAAACAGGCGAGGGCACAACCAGAGTGCTGACTGGTGGTCCTTTGGTGTTCTCATGGTACTGTATGCTTCATTGCTTACCTTGCTTAAGGTCATACATACACTGTGTATGTCTAAGTGAATATGAAATAATGTAATTAGAATAAGCTTGTCCAGATCTAATTATAAATACTTGGGTAAAGGGAGGAGAGAATTCAGTAACTGAATTGCTACTAAAATAGCAACTTCTTTGAATAAAATTTAATTTTCACATGCTTAGCCTGGTAAGGAGTACTTACCAGGAACCGTAAAAATTGTGTGCAGTCCGTTAGTAGTTTAGAACAGCTGTAGTCAGTGTGAAACTTGTGTTTGCATATTTAGTTCGCATGTGACTTGATAGTTAAAGGAAAAAAAACCTGAACACTTGGTTTAATGGAATATTACTTACGTTTTTCTAAGAGTAAGCCTGCTGAATGAATACTGGAGTAGTAAAATAAGCCAGTAACTGCCAGCACTCATGCCTTTGCTGTGGTGTGTTAGAGTATCAGGCTGAAATATGTATATTGACATTAAAAGTGAAGCATTGTTTTAGAATTTATTATTCTTGCTGTTTTCAGAGCATGGCAACGTCTAAAACTTTGTTGTGGAGGGGATTTTATGACTTTAAGTATCTTAGGGATGTAAAATATTTCTACATTATCATTACATTGCACTCCTGCTGTTTTTATGTAAACTGCCAATGAAAACAAAATTTTGATTTGGAGCTTTTTAATAGTCTTTTAAAAGCTCAAGCCAGTATGTCTGCTGTAGTGATGGGGAATAGTACAGTACTTAACTCTGTTTGAGCAATTGGGGGAAGAATTGTTGATTTAGATTAACATTTGTTCTTTTCAGTTTGAAATGCTTACTGGTACACTACCATTTCAAGGTAAAGATCGAAATGAAACTATGAATATGATACTGAAGTAAGTATATCTTCTTTCTTTTTGGAAAGTCAGAAAATGTAATTTTTAAATGTGTTAAAACAGCTTGTTATAACCCCTTGAGCTTTAAGAGTGTTAAGCTAGAGCAGGAACAAAAAAGTCAAGCCCTCCCTCCCAGTAAGGTGTAGATCCCAGACCATGCAAATACTATTAAGTATCTACGGAAATTAAAATCTTAGGGATGAACTCGTATTTTCATTGTAGGTGTGTATAATAAAAACAGTGCAGTAAATTAGACCAGCGTTATTTACCACTTATGTTGTTGTTATACTCTCTTGCTACTGTTACAGCATACCTGATTTTGTAAGCAATAGTTAATCAGGTGTTGCTTTGTGTATGTATGTATGGAGAGTGCACATAAATGCTCACATTTTCCATATTAAATTACCTCGGTTACAACAGAAGCTGCCTAACTAGACAAACAGGGTAAACTGGTGATTAGTAAGTGAAGTTGTTGGGCAAATATGTTCTTGTCATTATTTGTGCTTACCTAACAAATAATTTCCTTTAGACCACATGCAGAGCCTTGGGCCCTTTTGAGGGGGTGATAATCAGGGAAGGGGATGAGAGAGAAGCTCTGTTCTTTCCAGCATAGAGCAGTTTGAGCTTACCCTGAGTATGAGTTCATAGTGCTATTGCCTGTGCAAGTGGACAGATTAGGTCGGTAGCCTCACTTGGAGCTGTAATTGATGTTACAGTTCTGCAGAAGAATTTCTTGCCGTAGCGTAATTGTTTTCATAAAATAAGCATGATAAAGTCAGTAAGCTTTTATAGGATGGTGTAATGATCTACTTCTTGAGGCTCTTGCTTCGTGGAATATTAGCAGTCACTTCAGGGGCAGGTAATTTGGGATTTGGTGAGTCTCTTCTGGTTTTGATTCTGGTAGAGGTATTTTGGTGATAAGTTCCTGGTGACATAAAGATATCTTTGAAAATACTTATTCCAGAGATAACTATTTTACTCTGTGTTAGCATAAAGCTTGTTTTGGGGGCTTGGGTGGGATTTGAGGTTTTTGGTCTTGTGTGTTCTTTGTTTGGTTGGGGGATTTTTTTTTTTTCTCCTTTAACCCACTCATGAAACTTAGAAGCTGATAAGTTAAATATGTACGCTTTACAAGGCTTCGGAATAGATCCTTGATACATCCCGTTGTGCAATGAAGTCTATGTAGACAATTTTTAGTGAGATACGATTCTGCCTCTTACTTTTTTTTCTGTTTTCCTTTAGAGCAAAACTTGGAATGCCTCAGTTCCTCAGCCCTGAAGCACAAAGTCTTCTGAGGATGTTGTTTAAAAGGAACCCATCAAATAGATTAGGTTGGTTCATTTATTTGGATCTTTGAAATAAAAGTAGTCAGGTCGAGTTGATTATTTGAAGACAACAGTTGCTAGAGACTCTTAAGCTCCAGATGGTCAGTAAGATTTGGGTTCAGATACCATTTCTTGTTAGCTTAGATCATGACTTCCTGGGTTTGGATAATGAATTATTACTTTCTTGCGCCAGTGACTCTGAGCAATGAGCTAAAGCTTTGACAGTGTCAGAGCAAAGAATATCAACACTCTGTATTTATGGGCTTCTTGTACTCCATTTGCTTCCCTGATGAAATGTACACTACTTAATTGAGTATTTTACATCCTTGGAATATTCTATATTCACAATTTCCTCAAACAACTATGTCCATGCAAAATTTTTAGAAGTTGACTAATTTTTAGTGCTATCTTCTTCAAAGACTTTACCTAAAAATGTTTTTAAATACAGTGTTTTCTTTGTTCAGGAGCTGGTTCAGATGGAGTTGAAGAAATCAAGAGGCATCCTTTTTTTTCTACTGTTGACTGGAATGTAAGTACCAAATTATCTGAATGATAAAGCTGTATTTTTTTTTTCCCAATTTTTCTATGTTGTAGCATTGTAAGTATTTGCATCTGAACAGGGCACAATAAACACTGCAGTACTGCTGACTTACATTCTGGCTTCTACTGTAATCTTACTTGGCATCTGGAGCTGTAGTATTTATGGTACAGAGAGTATTAATTATAAGTTGTACATTTACTTTTTAAATAATTAGAGTTGCAGCATTCTAAAGCTTAAATTGTCTGTTAGAGCATTTGTAGCTGAGACACGATGCTGGTGTTCTCTGTGTGCAAGAATCCTTCTCTTCAGTAAGTGTCCGTCTGCTGCTTCCATGCAGGGCACAAAAGCTCACTCTGGCTATAATTTTCTGACTTCTCTCTAGTTAGACACAGCACATTCCTGTTTTATCAGTTGTATTCCATTTGCAGCTGAAGTATTGACTCTCATGCTCTGAGACGATCAGAAGTCTGTACAAGTTCATGATTGCTTAAATTTTTAACAGGCACCTTGATGCTTTTTGTCTGTGGTTCTCTAATCTGAGAAGTGTTTCCTAGAAACATTCTCAAAACCCAGAAGCTCTATGTCAAATCAATCCACTCTGAAAACACTCCTTTGCTATAATGCCTACAAAAGGGTAGACGCAGTAAAGATGATGTTGCTGTGCTGACAGGACTACCTGCAATGCTAGCCAATACTGTGCCCAGCTGTTTCTTTAAAGCCCGTTGTCATTATCCTTCTCTCTGTCTTGAATTTACTTCTGAGAAGGTGTTTTTTCTAGCTGTGTTTGTGCAGCATCTACCATAGTCCTGATTAGCAAGTAGAGTTTTCAGTAACAGCAAAACTTCGCTGTCTTGTGTGAGTACATGTCGTAAGAGAAGGCTTTGTTGTTATGGCTTGATTATCTACTTTTTCTTTTAAGGTACTGATCTTGAAATAAATATCAGGAAGGAAGTTTGAGAGATCTGCAGTTCTAACCTTTTTTCTTTTATTTATATATATATATGTATATATA